AAAGCTGAGCTCCAAGCTGTCAGTGGCTTCTTTAGTTCTAAACTCAGCTATTCAATGACCAGATTTTGAAACCTGTAAATTTGCACTAGCATACACCTAATCATAATAATTCATGTCATACCTTTTCATTAGTTGGATTCTTGCCCTGAATTTGTAGCAGGATTGAGATATGTCAGTTGATATTAGATTCTTCTTCAAGTCTTCTTCAATACCAAACAATCATAAAATAACAACCACACAGAAAAAGCAATACAAATATACATTTTGTGCATGTCTGTGAAAATAAATCTGTCCTTCAATATCTTTCCAGCATCGTAATTGCTAAAGTCTCGTATTCCGACAGTGTCAGACATCTGTGACTGATAAAAAGAATCTATCACTTGACAAACGGAAGATCTTCTTTCTTCTTTTCATATTCTGTCTGATTTAGTTAAGGAAGCATTTTGGAGTTATACATTTTCCACTTAAGATCTAATCCTTTTTATTGTTTCACATTAATGATGAAATTAAAAGGAGACTATTTCAAAACCCTCACTGTATTATTCCAGATTTACAGAATCAACAAATTCAAATTTCAATCTATGACCACTTCCAGTAAGAGATGATTATCTGGCATTCTACCAACTAAAAATGCCTATTAAGCCAGCACTCTTGCACTTTATCAGGGCCAAGATGATTGAAATGGTGGTAGAAATCCTGAGAAAGAGCAGAATTTTGAAGTGTCTTCAAAATTATTAAATGAAGATTAAACATACTTATATAGCTTTGATACTTTTAATGTTCTAATTCTTTAATATTAAGTAAACCCCAAATGGCTTATGTGGTTATCTGAATTTACCAGATTGTCCCAAACACTTAATTTCTACAATCTAAGGGCATAACAGAGAGTGAGCTGTTCTCGTTTTTCCTGGCCCCTCAGAAATAAGCTCTGGCATCTGGGCCAAAAGGAATGAAGCCACAGAGTCAATGAAAACACGACTGCACTTTGCATCTCCTGCTTAGTCCTGTTCCCTTTGTTTTTACTGGAATTTATTTAGAGAGAAAATGACGTAGAGGAAGAAATAAAATGGGTCAGCCTCAGCCAGCTTACATTCCCCTTGTTATGAGTAATAATAGAAGAAAAATAGTGGTGAGGAGGATAATGTGAATAATCACAAGCCTTTTATTTATGGATTTAGGTTTACTTTACAAAGCACTCTCAGCATACTATCCCATTTATCTCTCAAAGCCACGCTCTGGGGTTGGGGATGCTGTGGTGCAGAACACCAGCTCCACACAGGCGGATGCGCCTCGTTCCAAATCCCTGATCTGTCACTGGCTGTATGACCCTGGACAAGCTACTTAATATTCTCCACCTTAGTTTCTACTTACTTCATAAGGTCGATGCAAGGATAAGTGAGATTATGATTAGCACAATTACTAAGATTCATGGAGCACTGACACAGTGATTTCATGAATTTTCTTATGTAAGCTGCACATTCCATAAGAACTACTATTATTGTTATCTCTATGTTATCAGTGTGGAAACTGAGGCATAGGAAAGTTCAGGGATTTGCCTGTCATTTGCCAAAATCAGTGGAAGTGTAGATCCTGCACTGTTGGCCTGGGACTGATATAGTTCATCTTCCTGCTCCAAGACAACAGCCTTCTTCAATCCCCTTCAACTCACTCTCCTTCCTTCTCTCATGAGTCTCTGCACCTGCACCTTCCTCCCTTCTCTGCCTCATTGGTGCCTACACCATCACCAGGTCTCCATTTGGGAGTCAATTTCTCAGGGGTGTCTTCCCCAAGCTCCCTTGTAGGTCAAATCCTGCATTAGAAACTCCCGTAACACAAGTCCCTTTACAGTAGAATGCAATCCTCTTCGAAATTTTACCTCTCTTTGTTGGATTACAAATGTGATGATGGACTGCCTCCTCTACCAGCCTAAAAGCACCTGAGACAGACTCTGTGGGAGTATCCACTTACTATTGTCTTCTCAGCACCTAACACTCCCTGGATTGAAGGAGAGCACAATCATATTTTTTAAAGACTTATGAATGAGTGAATATACTAAGAGCATAATATATTTTGGCTCTTATTCTGTCCACTCCAGTTTGCTGATGAAGAAATTAAGACCCAGAGAGGTTAACTAAGCTACCCAAGGTTACCCAGCTTGTGTGCTCTAAATCAGACTCACACTGAAGTCTTCAGACTCTTTGCAAGGCTGTTACAGTCATATTCAATTATTTTCTAATTAAATAACAAACAGATGTGACAGACAGAATAGGCCCCCTCAAGATGTCCAACACCTAATCTCCTGAACCAGTGAATTTGTTACCTTGCATGGCAAAATGGACACTGCAGATGTGAGTACATTAGGTACCTTGAGATGGGGAGATTATCTTGGATTATCAAGGAAGGACTAACGTTATTACAAGTGCCCTAATAAGAGGGAGGCAGGAGGATCCGAGTCAGAGAAGGAGGTATAATGGCAAGCAGAGGTCCTCATGATGCCACTGGTAAAAAGAGACCAGGACCCAAGGCATGTGGGAAACCTCCCGAAGATGGCAAAGGCAAGGAACAGATTCTTCCCTGCAGTCTCCAGAAGGCAGACAGCCCTGCCCACACTTTGCTTCTAGCCATATAAGGCCTATCCCCAGACTTCTGAACTGCAGAACATTAAGATAATAAATTTAAATTGTATTGTTTCTATCACTAAATTTGTGGTATATTGTCAACAGCAGCAATAGGAAACTAATACAGATATTAATGACGTTGGATCCATTGGTAAGGTTGTCTGCATGGTAATGTAAGAGCAAAATGTCATGGATATTATTCTGCAAGCTGAAGCACAATGGGTAGATACAAACAATACACTACAATAAAAGACTTCTTGTTGAACTCAGTCTATCCAATTAGTTGTTTGAGCCACGTATTTCAAACAAACAAATAAAAATTTATTTTTAGTCTCTAAGCCTGAAAAATCTAAATTTAAAAAAATCCATGATTAATCTCATATTCTTTTTTTCCCTGAGATAATCCAGTGTATTGGGGAAAATCCCTGACTGAAAGGCAGGAGATGTTGATTTAAGGCCCACTCATCTTCCTTTAACCAAGTAACATTAAGTCACGCACTTGCTCTCTCTTTCTTCATTTTAATTTGAAAGGAACTCGAAGGCACACCTTGAAGCTACTTCCCAAATATACCATTCTATAATTTTATCATATTACTGCTTGGCCTGAGAAACTTCACTTTTTCAATGAAGAAGTCTTGCTATGTTCTAATCTGTCCCTCCCAACATGTCCCTCTCCAGGATTCTTCTTGCATACTACCCCACAATGAAACTAAAATTCATTCTGCAGGCATGTGCAACATTTATAATTCATGAAGATTACAAAAGAGTTGAGAGTTCAGTCTGCCATAGGTCATTCATTGTATATGAGTCCAGAATCTTCACCAAGCCAGGTGTTAGAACATGTCTCCACTCTGAGTCTGCCCCTAATATGTGGGAAAATTCTGCATAGATCAAGAACCTCCTCATGATCTGCCTTTAACTTACAGGTGTATAAAAAATAACTAATAAACTAAAGCATCTTAAAGTATGATTTTTAAAAGCCTACACTTTTGTCAATGAAGTATACATACTTCATACCCTTTAGATTGCTCTTAGTATTCGTCATTTTAAAGACTCATGCAAGAGAATAAGAAATGTAAAAGAAAGTGATCAGAAGCAGTGCATGGGAGAAGAGTTTACAAATAAGTCCTTGGCCTTTTCTCCACTGGAGATCTGTAAACATAAAAAGAATTAGAACTATCAAAATCAGAGATGCTACTGGCGTCACCACACGCCTGCTGACAGACAGACAATTTTGCTAATATACTCAGTGGAACTGGAAAAATTGAAAAATCTATTCTCTGTATATTGTAATGGCTCAAGCAATGAAAAATTTATATTAGCATTGATGATGACATCCTTGGAACAAGAAAGACGCAGGGGCTGGAAGCACACTGTACTTTTAAAAATCACACCAGGCATTGTTTCTGGAAAGACACAATTCCTGTCTTAACTAGTGCTTTGGTGGCTTATCTTCATTATGTAACATATAGGATGGAGAGATACATAAGAAAAAGAATATTAGTCAGCTGATGGTAACAAAAACAAATGGCCTTCTTTCCAAACAGGCATTTTTCAATACACTGTATTTCTAAATACCCATCACAAAACCAGCATTATTAATGCATGGGGATATGTATAGCTCTTTATTATTACAGAAATTGGCTTGTGGCTGACTCTGGAGTGTCTAAGAGACCTGTTTCACAGCTGTCTCTAGGACTAGAGTCTCCATTAGAAGTTCTCCTGAGCAGTTAATCAGGAAAAAGGCTGATCAGTTGAGAAGCACCATCATGCCAAACCTATTCTCATGTTCTCAGTGGAGGCAGACAAAGCAGTGGTAAGGTTCAGCCTCGGTTGTGAGGCTCCCTGCACAACTACTGGATTACAGGGTTGTAGGGAATGTAGGCCAAGAGTTTCTGAAAAGGAAAAGCAGGTGGGAAAAGTGAGTCATTTTCAAAAGCTTAAGTTCCATAATTTCTCTAGCAATGCTCAAAAAATTGGAAGCATTTCTTCACCTTCCTGAATCCAAATGTTTATTAAGTTCATTGGCTAGGCTAATATTTATTGAGGTGTCCATGATGGGCCAATATAGACTGACAGGTTACAGTAGGGTTGGAAGGGAGTTATGCAAAAAGAGAATAAGTAGTGGTTTGCTATGATAGCCTTGTGGTATTCACACCTGTATATAGTCCATCACACATGGAGTTAAAGGTAGCTGTGTGATCAATAGACGTGTGGTGGGAATAATGGTATGTTACTTCTGAGGCTAGTTCATACAAAAAAAAACATCATGGCTTCAGCCTTGGTCTTTTGGATCACTCATTATGAGGAAAGCCAGCCACCATGCTATAAGGATACTCAAAAGTCCTGTGGACAGAGCCACATGGAGAGCTGCAGAAGCCCCAGCCAGGAATCAGCACTAATTTGCCAGTTATGCAAGTGGGACTCCTTGAAAGTGCATGTTCCAGCACCAGCAAGCCATCAGATAGCTGCGGTCTCAGCCAACATCTGACTGCAAGCTCATGAAAAATGCGGAGTCAAAACTGCTTTATCAGTCCTGAATTCCTAACCCACAGAAACTTTACAAGAAAATAAATCATTGTTCTTTTAAGTCACTAATTTTGGGGATGATTTGCTACACTGCAATAAATAGTGAATACTTTCAAAAGGATGCCATGAGTTTGAGTGGACCTAGGAGGAAATCTAACATAGTGTTTAGGACAGAATTACTGGAGTTACACAGGTCTGCATTTGAATCCTGACTGTGATTCTCCAAGTTATTTCACCTTTCTAGACTTCAGTTTCTTCATCTGAACAACATGAATAATAATAGTGCTTATCTATCACATTGCTGAACTATGTAATTCTCTAGAATTCATTCAAACTCTCCAATTCTGGATGGCAGAAATGTATATGTGTGTTTAGATACTGATTTTATCTATATTTATATAGAGAAGAAAACAGAGACACTTTATTAAGCGCTGACTCTATGTTGGTTTCTGGGCTAACGAGCATTCGCACACATTACACTGCCTTTGAGTAAGATGCCTTGCTTGATATCGGTTGGGATTGTATCACTTAAAAACTCTGTTTCTACAGGAATTGGCTCAAGGTGAAAGTTGTAGGATAAAAGCTACTGAATTGTAATCAAGTTCTATTGCAGCAAATTAATCTTTGTACAAAAGCTGGGAAGTATTTCATAAACCAGAAACCAAAGAGAAAACTTTATTATAACTTGGTAGTAAGCTGACCCTTTTATACTCTAGGGACTGGGAAAAATAATCCATGGGTGTTTACTACAGGAAAAACAGAGGCTTATAGGGATGCTCTTGGCCCCAGGGAGGCAATACTGTAAGTCTTTATCAGCTTCCTGGTAGAGCTCCTGGCCTAGACCCAGCCCTCTCCGCCTGCTAGCAACGGAAGTTGTTTGGCCTTACAAAAACAAAACAAAAAAACTTTATTAAAACAGCCTTTTTGTTATTGAGACCTGAGAATTCACTGTTGTAAGTGTTTTTCTTTTAAGTCTCCTGATTTGAAATATTTCATTTTGTTTTTCTCTTGTTCTTTTTTCCCTTTCTGCTTTCCCCAGAGTTTCTGGTAATTATGAGAGCCTTGGATTTATCCTTCTACAGACTCTCTCCATTTTTTGCCAATTCCAATTTGTTCTGAATCCTGAAATAAATGAAATAAATAATAAATGAAAAGGCCAGAGGCAATGGCACCATCACCCTGCACACCCAGGGGAGAACCCAGAGGTTGTAGGAGGCTCTCTGCAGAGGAGATGGAAAACAATGTCCCAGGGGCCCAATTATTTACTGTAGCTACTGAAATGAGATGATTTATGTCGGGGACAAGGCTGTCCTGGAAGAGTAGCCAAGTGTATAAATTTAGATCTATTATATTAAAAAAAAAAACCATCCCTTGGCCCAAAAGAATCCAACTTAAAAAGAAATTAAATGACCCTGGGTTGTATATATACATTTTGCTCTTTATATGTAGAGACAGGTATTTGCTATTAAATGGTTACTAGATATTCTAACATATCTAATTGGTGGAGGTTTTAAGAAGCTAAGAATATAAACATTTTGTGTCTCAAATTTATAAGGTCATACCAAATAATTTGAGTTAGGCCACACATAGGTTGAAGAGAATAAACTTTTAATTGAGGACCAGCTTTAATTTTCTGGGGCATTATATGAATAACCAAAGTATTTAACTGGCCATGACCTTGGTGGATAAACATGCAAGGGTTAAGCTCACTGGATTGAGATCAAGATTTGATTCCCTCAAAACAACACCCTACAAGGTCACATGCTGAAATAAGAAATTCAAAATGTCAAATAGCAATGCTAGTTCCATTGGACGAGCATCAAAAGGAAATTTATTAAAGGCCTGGGAGAGTCCAAAGCACAGAATTCCCAGGCCTTAGTTATCAGGAAAAAGGAGACAGTCATTGGCTAAAGCTCAGAGGATCAGGTTGCTGCACGAACAAGATAGTTGACAGCGAAGTTTTTTTGAGGGTATTCGTGATCGGTTAAAGAAAAGTAAGCACTCAGTCTGAATATATGTATTATCATTTATACATATACATGGTTCACTACATATCATGTACATTATAAAATGCACACAAAAACAAAAACTCAGAAAGCAACAATAAGTAGATGCAAATAAAAAGGAATAATTACATGTTCCCTAATACTTCTGATATCTCACCACTGGTTACAGTAATGTCACCAAGATTTAGAGATGAGGATAAAGATTATAGAAACAGGATGGGGATGGGGTGAAGGACAAGCAATGGGAGACATCAGAGACTGTGGACATTTTTCAGTTTGCCTGCCCAATACCTAATGCTCAAGAAAACAGTTAATGGGTAATAAGGATATCTGTATAATTTCTCAAACTCCCGATAACATTTTATTCCCTTCCTTATGACAGTGAAGGACAGTACCAGGGGAGGTGCCTTCCTTATTTATCCTCACCCTACCACTCCTTCTACTCCACTTTCCTATTATCCACATGGTGGTAGAAAAGTAAAACACTAATATCAACTAGACAAAGATAGGAAAGTGAATTAACTCTTACTATCTTCTTTTTCTTTTTCTTGAAACAGAGTCACTTTATGGCCCAGGCTGGAGTACAGTGGCACAATCTTGGCTCACTGCAACCTCCACCTCCTGGGTTCAAGCAATTCTTGTGCCTCAGCTTCCCAAGCAGCAGGGACTACAGATGCGTACCACCACGCCCAGCTAATTTTTGTATTTTTCGGTAGAGATGGGGTTTTGCCATGTTGGCCAGGCTTGTCTTGAACTCCTGGCATCCAATGGTCTGCCCAACCCTGCCTCCCAAAGTGCTGAGATTACAGGAGTGAGCCACTGTGCCCAGCCAACTCTCAATTTCATGGTGGCACTAGAAGGACTGATACCAGGATTTTCTCACAGACTGTTTGCTCATCTGGGGAGCAGTGACTCTCAGACTTGAATCAAATACAAAGAATAATTGTTTAAAGTGAAAATGTCAGAGATACTCCCACCCTGGAAAGTCTGTTGTAGTTGGTCTGCTGTGGGCCTGGAAATCTGCATTTTATAAGTATTCAGATGATGACAGGGCAGGTGACTGACAGCACACATAAGGAAGAGACTACACTTCCAGATCCTGACTCTTTAGGCAGCAGTGGCTCAGGTTCCATCATCCCTACACCCATTTTTCTGAAGAAGGGAGATCAGACGATATTGACTGTGGGGAATAGGTCTGAGACTCTCTAGCAAGAGGTCAGACAGGTGGAGTTGAGTAGGTCCCCTGAACATCAGTTACATTAAGATCCACAGATGCCCTGGGGCAGCACCATTGCCGTGATCTCCTCCCATGACCCATCCGCAGGTGCTGAGCTCAGCTCACCTACCTTCAGCTCCAATCCCTGACAACACAGTCCTTCTGCAGGGCATCTTGGTATTCAGGAAGCATAATGGGTGAAGAGTCATGGGACAGCCTCAGGATTCTGTGAAGGGGTGAGAGTAAGAAAAAGTACTGAGGGACTGTGAGATGAGAGTATTCGATACTCTGGGTGTGTGGGGGGGATGGATTGAGGGGTGCTGTTATAACTAGAAACATACATGGTGGTAGACAGTGAAGAGCACTGAAATGCTATTATAGAGTTGGATATGATTCATTAAGCAATGAGAGCCTCTGAAGGTGTTTTCAACAGGGTAAACAGGTGTAATAAGTAAAGTTTAAGGAAAGTAACCTCTTGGCAATATGAGGATGTATTAGAGACATGGGAATTTGAATGCAAGCAAACTAGGTTCAATAATCGTAAGTTTAATAATTCACTATTTTTGACACCTTATTAAGGAATTAACTAAGGAATTAATAAGGACTTAGCCACTAAGAAACTTAGTGATAGTGATAAAAAAGGAAATTCTCATGTATATTGCTGCCTACCTAGAAATATGTGGTTACCTATTTACAGATTAATGCATATACATGGCCCCACCATGGCCTTAAAATAAATTAACATGTTTGAAAATGTACCCTCCACTCCCAAACCTTACCTCCAACTCCTAAGCCATGCCATACCCATCATGATCAAGGAGACAAAACAAATTTAAAGAACTTAATAATTGAGTTTAATTTCACACATAGAGAAATTCCTTTTGGTGTTGCTTTGGATTTAAACGACAGAAGTAGTATAGCCTTATCTTTTTGTCCAGAATGGGAAGGAAATGCTGAAAAAAAAATCAATATACCCTGGATTGCCTCTATGATAACAACTGTCACTGTATTTTACATGTCTGTTTCGCCATTAGATTATAAGGTTCTTGAGGGCAGGGTCCATATTTCTTGTTCACTGTATTAGTCCCAACAACTATAGCAATGCCTATTTAATATGCAGGAGGTACTTATGAAATATTCTGTATGGAATAAACTGTTCAAGTCCATTAGAATGCCATAGAAATAACGTCATAACTCACTAGTGGAAACAGCTATTTTAAAACTCTACTGATTTGCTAAACAAATCCAGGTCTCTAAAGCTAAGGCCAAGTGACCTGACTCATTTCTTATATCCTGGAAGGCCCTGTACCAAACATGGTCACACAATGAAGAAGGGAATGCTCCCCTCACATTGTGTGTGTGTGTGTGTATGTGTGCGTGTGTGTGTGTGTGTGTGTGTGAGTGAGAGAGAGAGAGAGAGAGAGAGAGAGTGTGTGTGCGTGTGCGTGTGCGTGTGTGTGTGAGAGAGAGAGAGAGAGAGAGAGAGAGCGTGTGTGTGTGTGTGTGTGTGTGTGTGTGTGTGTCCTGTATCTGGCCCAGGGACCACATTCTGAGATATTCCATTTGTGTGTGTTACATGAACAAATGCATCATGGTAAATGTAATATAGCTCCTCTGAGAACTGAATGGTCTTCTGTTTATTTTCCTAAGTTATGTGTATTTGACAGACTGAGGTTGCAATACTAACCTTGCTCAATATCTGAAAAGAATATCTTGATTCATGAATTCTGTAAACATTCATTAAATTCCTCACAGCATGTTACATGATGATGAGGATGGATGGAAGGGAGCTAAAAGAAGTAAATATAAAAGCAGAAGTGTTTACATAATTTCACAGAGGGTGTACTAGGATAGAATAACTGCTGTAACAAGCAACCTCCAATTTCAGTGGCCATGCATAATACAGAATGATACTTGGCTCACTCATGCAAAATCCAGTCAGATATCCCTGGTTAAACAGCTTTCTTAGGGTGCTCTCCTCTACGTGTCCCTTAGGGACTCAAGCTCCTTTCACCTCTTGACATTATTGTCCTCAACATGTGACCTGCAGGTCCCAATGGAAGGGAAAGCAAGAGAGTAAAAGATGAAGCATAGGAGATTTCGACAGACCAGTTCTGGAAGTGGCAGAGATCTGCAAGGATAATGGGAAGTCAAGTTTAGCAGTAAACCCAGAAGGAAAAGGAAGCAGGTTTGGAGAATACATAGCATTGTTTCTGCCACAGAGTACAAAGTTTCTGATGATCTCATTAGTCAGTAAATGTTTTCCAGTAGTGAGGCCTAAGTCAGTCAAGCACAAACTAAAAGGCAATGTAGTGTGGCAGGAAGCTATAATTATTATTATATATTATATGAATTATATTGTAATTATTATATATATATTTGATAGCATTATTTTCTGTCAAATCCCTGATAATTTTACCCCCATCCATCTCCATTTCCAAATCTTTCTTCTGAACTTCAGCATTAATTCATCCTAGTACCCATTCAAAAATCAGGCTGTTGCATTTTAAATGGTTATTTTACGAGAGTGATCTACTTTTTTCATGCTAGTAAAGATGACCTTTATAAATTCTAAGACCTAATCATTTTAGTTAATTCAAAACAGGTGGAAAATACCTTATAGGAAGTCATTTGTTATGCACAAGATCAAGCTGAAATGTCATCACCTCTCTGTAACTCTCTCTCCTTAAGACTTCCTTTCCCAGACAGAATTAATTGCCTCTCATCTGTGTTTTCACAGCATTTTATATATACTCGGTTTTAGAATGAATCTCTTTATAGTATAGTCATGTGCTGCATAATGACATTTTAGCCAATGACAAACCACATATACAACAGGGGTCCCATAAGATTATAATACCATCATCTTAATGTACCTTTTCCATGTTCAGATATGCTTAGATACATAGATGCTTATCATTGTGTTATAGCTGCCTACAATATTCAGCGCAGTAACAAGCCATATAGCAGGGGAATCCAAACTTTTGGCTTCATTGGGCCACATTTGCAGAACTGTTTTGAGCCACACGTAAAATACGCTAATACTAACAAAAGCTGATGAGCTAAAATACACAAATGGCAAAAAAATTCATAATGTTTTGTTTTTTGTTTTTTGAAATAGAATCTCACTCGGTTGCCTAGGCTGAAGTGCAGTGGTACCATCCTGACTCACTGCAACCTTCACCTCCCGGGTTCAAGTGATTCTTGTGTCTCAACCTCCTGAGTAGCTGGGATTATGGGCATGTGCCACCATGCCTGGCTAATTTTTGTATTTTCAGTAGAGACAGGGTTTTGTCATGTTGGCCAGGCTGATCTCCAACTCCTGGACTCAAGTGACCCAACCACTTTGGCCTTCCAAAGTGCCGAGATTACAGGCATGAGCCACCATACGCAGCCGCAATCTCAAAGACTTAAGAAAGTTTATGAATTTGTTTTGGGCTGCATTCAAAGCCATCCTAAGCCACATGTGGACAGCAGGCCACAGGTTGGACAAGCTTGCTGTACAGGTTTGTAGCCTAGGAGCCATAGGCTATACCACACAGCCTAGGAATATAGTAGGCTATACCTTCTAGGTTTGTATAAGCACACTCTGATGTTTGCAAAATGATGAAATCACCTAATGATGCATTTCTCAGAATGTGTCCTCATCATTAAGTGGCACATGACTGTGTAGTTATTTTCTTATGTACTTGTCTTCCCCTCAGACTTGAGCTCCTTTGGGCTAAGGGAATATGTGTCTGTGGGGCCTAAAAGAATTGCTGGCTCATAACAGGCACAGAATGCATGCTACCGAACAAATGGTGATGCATCCTCAGTTGTACTTCTTGGAGCACTGTGTCTACACCACCTTGATAGCTCTTACAAAACAGTATTGCAACTTGTTTTATGTTTTTATGTGTCTCTCTGGACACTAAATTGTGAGCTCTTTGGGGCAGGAATAATATCTTTTGTGCCAATTGCCTAACATATTTTTTCTATCTGTTCAAAACCCCACTTGTTCCAAAACTGATTTTGTATGCTTTATACTATACATGGTACATTAGGATAAAAAATAGATAACTGAAGAAATCATGTCAAAGAGTAAATATGGATAGGAAAAAAGAGTCCAAGAGTGAGAGGAATACATAAAATGCCTGGCAAAACATACTATACTGTATTTGTGAAAAGTCGGCTATGAACTTGGCTCTGAGCTTTCTAGAAGTCAAAGCAAAAAGGGCTACATTCTTAGAAACAAAATGTAGTACCTAAAATGTTCAAGCAAACTGTTTTCTTGAGGCAATGGTGTTTGTTTTGGTGTTTTAAATTTTCATCTCTGTTTCTCAGCTACCTGTGGGTTTTGCCAAACCAGGTGTTATAACCATGAACTGGATATTTGATGAAGTACTTACATGTAGCACTAGGAATTGTTGCTAAAGGATGAGAGATGGCACATTTCTTCTAAGCTCTAAGATGAAGTTCCAGGAGATTCACAGAAAACAAAGGATCACCACACAAATTACAATAGCCTCTCATTTCTCTAGTTCCTCTCATCCCCCTGATGTCACCAATCCAGAAGTAAGGGCACATAGGCCCTAGGATGCCTTCAACAAGACCAAACTAAGGAGCAAATTATCCCTTCTACCTGGCCCAGATGTCTACCTAATAATGGCACCAACTACTAATCACAGTGTATGCCAGTACTCAAATGCTGGTATCAAGCTAGCTGTGTATAAATTACCGGGGGAGTTGTGGGACAGGGAACTTACTTTCTAAATAGACATTTCAGAAAATTCTAATGTATTCAGTCCTAACTGAAGTCCAAAAATCTATATTATTTTAAATCTCCCAGGTGATTCTGATGGAAGGCTAAGTTTGCAAAAACCACCAATACATTCCTTGATATAAAAATATGAGTGAAATTTCCATGAATTTATTTATTTATTTATTTTTTGCTTCCATTCCACCATTCCTAGTTTCTGTAGCTTAGTAAATCTGTTTCTACAGATACAGCTACAAGAAACACCTCCCTTCCCTCACTGGTGGGAGACAGAGCCTATCAATGCTGTGCCCCCATCCTGGCATTTAGGGTTTGAGGAGTAATTAATTTATGGGCTCTATATTACCCAAAGAAGTATATTAGTAGAGATATAAAATTTCTGACAGACAGTATCTACCGTGCTAACAAATCAATCCGGGAATCAAAGAAATTGCTTCCATTATGTAACACCAAAACAATAACAACTGACA